GAGAGAGAAACCTTTAACCTTTATGGTGAATATTTAATAACTTTCTTTTTCGTTTTAATGATATTTGATGCTAATAACATTCAACCCCAACCTGTGTATCAATCAACTTCGATATTGGGGTTTGTTTATGACATTTGTTTGTTACATTTTGAAACCGCAATTTTTTTTAACGTTAAATAAAAAAAGTTATAAATGTTTTAGTAAGTGAGTAATTAAGTCATACCACACACACAAACACATTTATATAAAAAATGGATATATAGGTACATATATAATATATATATACAAAGATATATTAAACAATGCATACTTTTTTATAAACTTTTTATTACAAATAAAAACGTTAAAAATTTATTTCGTGCACTTTAGAGAATAAATGATGTTTCTCTTAAAGTTCATCATTCCACGTTCATTTAGGTGGATGCCGTCAAGTCCTATATTATTACCTCCTCCCACTCTGTCAAGCTTCCAGAAATGAACAATGTTAGACTGGAATTGTTTCAATGAAACATTTAGTTTATCAACTTTCCATTTCTGAACGTCTTTTCTATAAACCAGGCTTAATATGATTATTCGGCGCGGTCTGATTTTGTTCTCTAACAGTCTGAGTAAGGATTCATATCTCGCGGCCACGAGTTCCGGGGTTTCAGTCGCCAAATCATTGCCTGGTATTTAATTTTAATGACTAAAAATTAAACAAAACTGTTACTATATTAAAAGAATAATTAACCAACATTAAACTATTTATTAAACAAATGAATCAACCTCCGATGTAAAGGATTATTGTTTCAATAGGAATGGTATGCTTCCGGAAGAAGTTAATCAATCCTCCGATCCTCCCACCAGGCTTTCCTTTTAATAAGACACGTTTATTACCTTGGGTAATAACGTCATTTTTCATTTTTAAAAAAAATTCCATTCTACGCACATAACTGTCGCCAAACAATGAAATAGACATTGCTCGAACAGTTTTATAAATTTAACCTTGACAGCAAGTAACAAAATGGCCAACATAGAAATGAAAAACGTGGTTTCTTAACATGGAAATAGAAATGTAATTAAACGTGTATAATTGAACTGAAACGTATATAATGTCAATAATTGTTATACACACAAATTGTTTAATACACATAATTACGGCAAGGAAAAACAATTATATATAATAAGAACAAAAATAGATCTTAATTCATAATTTCATAATTTGGTAACACAAAAATTATCAATAAGTGAATTTAAAATTTGTTGCGTAGAAGTTCGCTTTTATACAGAGTTCTTTTTCAGCGCTTGTTTGCTAGGCGGCTTTTTCAAAACAATTTTTGAAACTAGTTTTCTTACAATTGCGAGTTTTGCGATATGGATTCTTTTATTGAAAAATTCGTGAGTTACGTCCAGAAAAGTGGCATAGACAGAGAAAAGTTACTAAAGGTTTACTTTTTTATAACTAAAAAAGCGCTTTGTTGTAATGAAAGCGCTGATGAGTTGTGGATTCAGTGTCAAAACTGTTTCCGCTGGGTTCATAGAAAATGTACCCTCATCACATGCAGTGATTGGACTAAAGTGTTGTATAATTGTAATATTTGTCGGTCTCTACTTGGTCAAATATAATTGACAATTGAATGAGCCTGCTTCAGGCAGCTCTCTAGGTAGGTTCCTTTTTTTAATTGAATGAGCCTGCTTCAGGCAGCTCTCTAGGTAGGTTGCGTTTTTTTTAATTGAATGAGCCTTTTTACATTCAAAAATTAGTTTAATTTAGCTGCTTTAGTTTCATTTAACTAAGCCAGTAAAAATAACGCAGCTCTATAGGTAGGTCTCCTGCAAAAACCGACTCGCACTTCATCGTAGTGCAGGAGTGAACATCTTTTGTCGAAAACTGAAGATGGCTAACGCGAGCGGTGTTTTTCTTGAATACCATTTTACGTTACCGATGTCGCAAATTTGGAAATATATGGGTAACGCGTTCAATCGAATTATTGAGAATGTGCACGAATAAAATTGTCTATTGGAAGATGCAAGTAAAACAGGACGTTCAATCCAGGACGTTGCTCGTCGATAGTTTTATTTTTTGTTGTTATGTTGTTGTTGTTCATATTTAACGGCATTTATGCTCCCAAAATGGTGCAATTGTTTGCCAAATTAAAAAAAAATATTTTTTTTTCTTCATGTGGAAAAATAGAAGTTCAGATAATATGAAAAATGTTTATTGCACTGAACGTGGGGAAAGAGAAATACTATGGGAAAAATATTTAAATCATATCGTGGTAGTTACAATCTTTCAGAAATTGTATTACATTGATAATATTATTGTTATTCTTAAAATATTCTGAAAGCTGTTTATATATTAAATGTTTATGTCTATGTGTAATTGGGTTCTCGCAAGTTATAATATGTTGGATTGTTAATTTGTGTCCGCAATATTGACATAATGTTTGATCTGACTTATTTAATATATATCCATGTGTTAATTTTGGGTGGCCAATCATTAGTCTG